GGTGGGGCCATCTGTCAATCCCAGGTTCTCCTGCCCCCACCCCTGAAAACAAGTTTGAGCCCTGGATCTCTGCCCTAGGACTTCCCAGTTATGAAAGCCAATATAGTCCCTTTTTGCTCAAGCCTGTTCAAGTTGGTCTTCTGTCACTTGCAGCTGAAAACGTTCCATTGAATATACCAGGCTAATAACTAACTATGAAATCAGCTCCAACCAAAGAACTAAGTCAGAGTGAAAATATGTCTTCCAAGGGTCAGAATCCCATAGTTCTCTGGAAGAGAAGCATACGAGACCTCTACCAGATCTGGACAGGCCGGCTAGAAGCAGTACTGCCCTTAGACATAGGCAGGAGAGGCCCCTGCATACACACACACACACACACACATACATTCATACATTAAATAACACATGGAAATCCCTGTCCCTGCCCCTCGAGATCCAGCACTCAGCACTAGCACAGCGTGACCTCTAAACCCAACACATCCATTCTCATGAGCAGCACCATTCAGGCCCCAGGGAAATGCCTCACATCTTTTGTGTTATGTCCTTGAATCAAAAAAAGGCTGCGTCTAAATGCTGTGAAAATGTGTGGGCTATGCTGCTGTTCACACTGGAGACGACGCTGCCCTGGCTGTGGAGTGTGGACAGGAGCGCACTAAGATAAGAGAAAAGGCATTGATAAATCCTTCCTCTCACGTCGAAGGAATGCAACAGAAGTAGTGGATCCAGTGGTGGCGAGCATGCACTTTCTTGCTTCTCTTTGCGGTTGCAGAGGTACTCACAAATTAGCACAGTGTTTGCTACAGCTGCACACGGCAGTTGAGGAGCATTTTCCAATATGAGTAATTCATGATTCGCCTACATTTGCACATATGTAGGTCAAGATATAACATGCATGAAGCATGACACTAATGCTTTACACTGGCAACTAGACAGACATGGAACAATGCTACAATTATAAATGAATTTATTTTTGTAAAAATGTTTACTAAGATTTCATTACTTTTTTTTTTTTTTTGAGACCGAGTCTCGTGTTGTTGCCCAGGCTGGAGCACAATGGCATGATCTCAGCTCACTGCAACCTCCGCCCACTACAACCTCCGCCTCCCAGGTTCAAACAATTCTCTACCTCAGCCTCCCAAGTAGCTGGGATTACAGGTGCCTGCCACCACACCTGGCTAATTTTTGTATTTTTAGTAGAGACGGGGTTTCACCATCTTGGCCAGGCTGGTCTTGAACACCTGACCTTGTGATCAACCTGCCTTGGCCTCCCAAAGTGCTGGGATTACAGGCATGAGCCACCTCACGCGGCCCTGACATTTTCAAGACTTAAATTTAAAAGTTCACTTTACTTAAACATCTTATTTAAATGTTACATGTATTAGATAAAGTGGATCCATTGTACTATTAGTTATATTTGCCTTTTAATTTTAGTAGATAATGTTGAAGATTTTAAGCAAAAATTTTTTTTAAACTTACAAGTAATTTTAAGCTTTGATCTTTTACAATTTATTTTTATATTTTGATTAAAACAGGTGCACTTTTGTACTATTTTGGTTATGTTGCTGCATCACAAACCCCAAAACTTAGTGCTTTCGAATCAATTGGCCAAGCATAGTGGCTCACTCCTGTAATCCCAGCACTTTGGGAGTCCAAGGTAGGAGGATCACTTGAGGCCAGGAGTTCAAGACCAGCCTGGGCAATATAGAGAGACCCTATCCACACACACACACACACACACACACACACACACACACACAAGTTTATTTTAATAAAACACTTTTAGCTCTCATGGTTCTGTGGGTTACCTGGGCTTAGTGGTCATTTATGGGGACAGGTCTCTCATGTGGTCACAGTCAAATGGCAGCAGGGTCTACAGCAAGCTTGTCCAACCTGCAGCCTCTGGGCTGCATGACATCCTGGATGGCTCTGAGTGCAGGTCAACACAAATTTGTAAACTTTCTTTCTCTTTTTTTTTTTTGAGACAGAGTTTCTCTCTTGTTGCCCAGGCTGGAGTGCAACAGCGCAATCTCGGCTCACTACAACTTCTGCCTCCTGGATTCAAGTGATTCTCCTGTCTCAGCCTTCAAGTAGCTGGGATTACAGGTGCACACAACCACGCCCAGCTAATTTTTGTATTTTTAGTACAGACAGGGTTTCACCAAGTAGGCCAGGTTGGTCTTGAACTCCTAACCTCAGGCGATCTACCCACCTCGGCCTCCCACAATGTTGGCATGAGCCACTGCGCCTGACCCGAAAACTTTCTAAAAACATTATGAGGTTTGTTTGTGTGTGTGTGTGTGTGATTTTTGTTTTTAGCTCATCAGCTACTGTTAGTGTATTTTATGTGTGGCCCAAGACAGTCCTTCTTCCAATGTGGACCAGAGAAGCCAAAAGATTGGACACTGTTGGACTAGAGTCCAACACTGGCTCATTTGGACTGCACATCCAAGATGGCAGCATCTTCTTTCACCTAGCTCGGGCCTCAGCTGGGATGGATGGAGCGAGAGGAGTCTGGCTGAATCTACTGTTTTCTCCTTGTGGCCTTCCATGTGGGTGGCTATCTTGGCTTCCTTATAGTTTGACAGTCTCAGAGGAATCGAATTTCTAAGATAATAGCTGGCTTACCCCAGAGCAAGCTATCCAAGTGACGCAGCTGGAAGCCAAAGGCTTCCCATGACCTGTCCTCAGAGGTCATGAAGCCTCACTGTCACTGCTTTCTGTTGGTCAAAAGCAAGTCACAGAGACAGCCTGGATTTAAGAGAGGGGACTATACAAGGATGGGCATACTAAGGGTGTGACTCAAGGGAGGGCTATCTTGGAAGACCAGCTGCCACAATGTCTGCCCTCTGCCTCCTGTGAGTCACACACTTCCCATGTGCAAAATACACTCCCCTTCCAAGACCCTTACGGTATCTGCCACGAAGCCTTCAGGCTCAGGCTCCAAGTCTAGGACCTCAGCCTCCAACTCAGGTCCAGGTGCAAATAAGGCCCCCCAGGTGTGGGTCTTTAGAGAGGGTTCCTTTTGCCCTGAAGATCTGTGAGCTAAAGAGAGAAGTTATCTTCCTCCATAGCCAACATACAGCAACAAGGCGGGCAGCAGGCATAGGATAACGGCCACAGACACTCCCATTCAAAAAGGAAAAGAAGCTTGCACAGTGCAGTTCTGAAATCAAGCCAAGCACATGTCTTCATTAGACCTGGTCCCACTCTCGGGGAGGGGCTATCCCTAGCTGTTGGCTTCACACTCAATTATCCTTCCTTTTCCATAAGAAATGACCAGGGCGGTCAGGCACAGTGGCTCATGCCTGTAATCCCAGCACTTTGGGAGGCCAAGGTGGGCAGATTACTTGAGGTCGGGAGTTCGAGATCAGCTTGGCCAACATGGTGAAACCTCATCTCTACTAAAAATACAAAAATTAGCCAGGCATGGTTGCGTACATATGTAATCCCAGCTACTGGGGAGGCTGAGGCAGGAGAATCCCTTGAACCCGGGAGTAGGAGGTCGCAGTGAGCCAAGATCGTGCCATTGCACTCCAACCTCGGAGACAAGCGAGACTCTGTCTCAAAAAAAAAGAAATGACCAGGGTCTGCTGCCAAATACCTGCCTGTTCTTGGCCTGCTTCCTGCTCATACAGAAAGTATCTTTTCATTTTGAACTGTCTCTGTCCCTTTCCATCCAACTTGATATAATTCTTTCAAAAAATTGTGTTTCTTAAATATCAAATTATAATGTACTCCTTTAGACAATAGCCACACCCCTATCTCTCCCTCAAAAGGCCTTTTTCTACTTTAAGCCACTTGTGAGGTTGCTGTGGGATTCTTAGAAGTCCTATTGTCTAGTAGAGAGGCTCTAAGACATACACTCTGAAGATGCTTTGCTGGGCGTGGCGGTGCGTGCTTGTGGTCCCAGATGCTCCAGAGGGCTCTTTGTACCTAGGAGTTGGAGGCCAGCCTGGACAACATACCCTGTCTCAAGGGGAAAAAATATTCTCAGAAGCCCTACTGTCTATTTAAAGGGTCTACAAAAATGATGACCTTCAATTTTTCTGAGGTTTTAATAAAGGGCTTTACAGCCACACCCTTGATTTCACATTTACCCAAGACCACAATTTACAGGCAGCACCCTAAATTTTATCTTTGCCCTGAGACCCCTTCTTATTTTGAAAGCCTTTTACTGGCTGGAACAACAGTCCTGGGCTCCTTGTATTTCCAAAATTCTGCTCAAAACCTAAATAGTTATTTCTTTGGTTCATCTCTATCTCTTCCTATTTTTTTATTTTTTTGAGACAGAGTCTCGCTCTGTCGCCCAGGCTGGAGTGCAGTGGTGCGATCTCAGCTCACTGCAACCTCTGCCTCCTGGCTTCAAGTGATTCTCCTGCCTCAGCCTCCTGAGTAGCTGGGACTACAGGCGTGCACCACCACACCCAGCTAACTTTTTATATTGTTGGTAGAGATGAGGTTTCACTATGTTGACCAGATTGGTCTTCAACTCCAGACCTCAAGTGATCCGCCCACCTTGGCCTCCCAAAATGCTGGGATTACAGACATGAGCCACCACACCTGGCCTCTTCTTATTTTATCAGAGTCAGGTGGATGAAGCTAATTATTAAATATCACTTTCAAAAACTCCACCTGGAAACCACCCTAGCCAGATCCCCTAGCTCATCAGGTGCCCTTTTCTACGTCCGTGTCATTGCAGGTGAGGGGCTCACGGAACTCTTCTGCCAGTGCCTCGCTAGGTCTCCTCACTCCATCTCAACATTTCGGTACACCACAGGTTTTAGGTTTCTCTTACAACACACCACTTCCAGCACTATGGTCCCGGCCACGGTGAACAAGACCTCCTGGTATTTATGCCTTGTGTGGTGCTCCCACAGCGAATCTGGGCTGGCCTGTGACTCATCTAACAAACAACAATGCAGTGGACGCAGTTGCATAACTTTTGGATGGACCTTTAGGAGCCCTGGCAGCGTCCTCTTCCTCCCATTTAAATTACTCACTTCTGGGAGTCCTGGGCACCAGCCATGGAAGAAGTCCAGCTACCCTCTTGGAGCGACCAGCAACTCTACGGGAGAGAGAAGGCCAGAGATTACACACAGAGGGATAAAGGAGCCGATGTCCCAGCCTCCCAGCTGAGCCTCTTAATGATCTGGCCTCGTCCATCGCGCAACCACAGCCCCATGAGATTTCCCGAGCATGCGCAGCAGAAAAGCAGCTCAGCTAAACCCAGCCAAGCCACAGAAACACAAAAAAATAAAATGTTGGTGATTCTCAGCCCCTAAGATTGAGGGCAGTTTGCTTTGTAGCGCAGGTGACTGAAACAACTCTGACACAAGCTTGTTTTCTCTTTCATCCTTTAGATCAGCACTGTCACTGGAACACAAATGATGAGTTCGCTATTATAAAAACATGATTACTCATTTTACTGAAGTTAAGGCAAACAAATGCATTCTAGAGAGTAAATTTACGCTAATGTATGAAATGTAATACGTGTCTTTATTCCTCACCCAAACATCACTGGCTTTCCACAGAATTGAAGAGAGGGGACCACACAAGGTTGGACATACTATGGGTGACTCATTGTGGGGACTATCCTGGAAGACCAGCTGCCACAATGTCTGCCCTCTGCCTCCCATGAGTCACACACCTCCCATGTGTGAAACACACTCCCCTTCCAAGACCCTTACGGTATCAGCCACGAAGGCTTCAGGCTCAGGCTCCAAATCCAGGGCCTCAGCCTCCAACTCAGGTCCAGGTGCAAATGAGGCCCCTCAGGTGTGGTTCTTTACAGAGGGTTCCTTTCACTCGCCCTGAAGATCTGTAAGTTAAAGAAACAAGTTATCTTCCCCCATAGGCAACAAATATATAGCAACAAGGCGCCGGCAGGCACAGAATAACTGCAGCAGACACTCCCTTTCTACTGGGAATCCCCTGAGGGATTCATAACTAAATTCAGTTGTCTTCAATACAGTGCAGACTTGCAGTCATACAAAAAGTATAACTTGGTCAGGCATGGTGGCTCATGCCTGTAATCCCAGCCCTTTGGGAGGCCAAGGCGGGTGGATCATAAGGTCAGGAGTTCAAGACCAGCCTAACATGGTGAAACCCCATCTCTATTAAAAATACACAAATTAGCCAGTGTGGCGGCGCACGCCTGTAATTCCAGCTACTCAGGAGGCTAAGGGAGAATCCCTTGATCCCGGGAAGCGGAGGCAGCAGTGAGTCAAGATTGCACCACTGTACTCCAGCCTGGGCAGCAGAGTGAGACCCCCATCTCTACTAAAAAAAAAAAAAATTAAGCCTGTTGTGGTGGTGCACATCTGTGGTTTCAGCTATTCGGGAGGCTGAGGCAGGAGGATGGCTTGAGCCCAGAAGATCCAGGCTGCAGTGGGCAGTGATCATGCCACTGTAGTCCAGCCTGGGCAACAGAGCAAGACCTTTAAAAAAAGAAATCCACCCACAGGCAATATCCAGCACTCACAGAGGACAAGGGGATGGGAAGAGACCGGGGTCCCGAAACCCTCAGACAAGGCCAAAACTTGATTAAGCCACTATAGGTAAAGACAGGATTGGCCTCCTCCCCAAGTTCCCCAACGAATGGACAGGTACAGAATCAGAGGGAAGCCCACTCACCAAGAAAAATCACTATCACATTCGACCAGCTAATCTGAACGCTGGGAGTTTCTGCAATTCGACCAGCTAATCTGAACGCTGGGAGTTTCTGCAATTCGACCAGCTAATCTGAACGCTGGGAGTTTCTGCAATTCGACCAGCTAATCTGAACGCTGGGAGTTTCTGCAAGGCTCACACAGAGCCTCTCGCTCCGCACGCATGTGCAAGGATCCCACTTCAGTTTTGTGACCGTGGAAGTGCCTCTACTTGTAGATGGGAGATTTCTTTACACCTGGATGAAGGTCTGTGACTGAGCCTGTGTGGAAGACTGTGGGTGTCTGTGAGCAGAATCGCCCCTGGTTCCATGTGCAGGCCCTGAGGCCAGACTGCCTGGCCTTAAATCCCAAGTCTTCCAATTACTAACTTTGTGACTTTGAGTAGACCTCTATGTGACTCAGTGGAGCTTTATGTGGGGGCAAATAACCACACCTACCTCATGCAGTTGTTGCAAGGATGAAATTACATAATCCTTTTTATGGTGTTAGGACAATGCCTATGATATAGTACATTTCCAATAGGTGTTAGTTATAATTATGATGTGGGACTGTGTATATCCACATCTGCAAGTGTAGATTCAAGTGTATCCAGTAAAGGTATAGCGGTGTCTTTATATCTTTATTTATGAAGATATACACATCTGTGTGTCTGCGTCTCTGTGTGTCTGTGTGTCCAGTGATAAGAACAACTGGCATTTATTGTGTGCCTGCTATGCCATGCAGTGAGTTCTACAGGTATTCACATGGAAACATACACATACATGGATGTGAATGGCAACTACACATCCAGCCTTGTGGGAAGCAGAAAGTTCTTTTTTAAAGCTTCCTTTCTTGTTAAAGAATAAGTGTGCCAATAACTGTGCTAAGCCCTATCTCATGTAGCTGTTAGACATGCCGTGCTTACAGGCACGTAGTACACTCTATGTCCTTGTACTTTAACCAAGTTATCTGTGCTGGACGTGCTCACAGGCATGTTCCAACTCTCCATTGCTTTTACCTGTTTAGAAAAGTTTTAAGTTCTTAGCCTGTCGGATTTCAGTTTAAATTGTAAGGTCTGGCTCCCGCCAATAAAGACCAGACACGGCAGTAAGAACGACCCCAAATGCGTAAGGGATAAATCTGTGTATTTTCCTTCACTCATTGTACTCTTGTAGCACGATGGCTTCCCGCGGTACAGAAAGTAAAAATTGCGTTGCCGAAAGATCCTTTGTCTCGCGGCTAATTTTTCTTCGTGGCACTGAGCATCTATTTCCAGCAAGCATGATTTACTACATCACAGGCATTGTACTAACACTACAAATAGGACTACGTTTAGGAGGCCCCGGTGGACAGATCACTTGAGGTCAGGAGTTCAAGACCAGCCTGGCCAACATGGCAAAACCCTGTCTCTACTAAAAATACAAAAATTAGCCAGGCATGGTGGCAGGCAATCTACAATCCCAGCTACTTGGGAAACTGAGGCAGGAGTTCAGGAGAACTGCTTGAACCAGGGTGGCGGAAGTTGCAGTGAGCTGAGATTGTACCACTGTGCTCCAGCCTGGGTGACAGCAAGACTTCGTCTCAAAAAAAAAAAAAAAAAGGATTAAGTAATTTCATCCTTGCAACAACTACATGAGGTAGGTATGGTTATTCACCCCACCCCCACATCCAGCCGCATGTGCCAGTGAGTACCTGAAAGTGTGGCCATCTGCCTCAGCCCTGCCCAGTGAGACCCCCTTCCTGAGGGAGCCACAAGAGGGAAGGCAGTGAATGCCACCCACCACCAGCCCCTTCTCCAGGCTCCCTATTGGCTTGAATTGCCCATGTCACATTTCCTCCAGTAGGAAACAACAAATGAGGAGCCTGGATGAGAGCCCACCAATCACAGACTTTCTTTCATCCTATGCCGTGGTCTTGCCTTGGCCCAGGCTAAGAGCCTCCTTTTGAGAGTCCTTGAGCTCTGCAGGGGTTCCTACTGGGCCAGGCTATCTTTACACAGGGGTGTGACTTTTGTTTATCTTTTTTTGTTGTTGCTGAGTGGCATCTACTGACTCATAGTGTATCCTCCCTGGGAGGGCAGAGGCTAATATCAGCAAGATAGTGAAGTCTCCTTGTGGATGAATCCCCCATGTTTTATGTGTTATGCTTCCTTTGGTTGCATTATCCAATGTTGGTAACATTTGAAGCTTAAAAGGATGATATTTGAAAATTTTTGGGCCAGGCACGATGGCTCACACCTGTAATCCCAGCACTTTGGGAGCTCAAGCAAGAGGATTGCTTGAGCCCAGGGGTTCAAGACCAGCCTGGGCAACACAGCAAGACTCCATCTATTTAAAAAAATAGAAAAATTAGCCAGGTGTGGTGGCACACACCTGTAGTCCCAGCTACTCAGAGGCTGAGATAGGAGGATTGCTTGAGTCCAACTGTTCAAGGTTACAGTGAGCTATGATCGCACCACAGCACTCCAGCCTAGACAACAGAAGGAGACCCTGTCGCTTAAAAAAAAAAACTAAAAAAATTCTGTTTTATTTCTGTTGCCCAGGCCGGAGTGCAGTGCTTTTCTCTTTGGCCTTGATGGGTACATGATCGTGGATTAATGTTTGATACAGACAGAATGCATAGAAGAAAAAAATGTGGTCATGTTTGGCATTTGACACGCAAAAGAGGATTATGCTGCAGATCAAAAGTCTTCTAAAGCAGGCTATTCTCTTGAGAGCATGTTTCCTGGATTCCCTCATCTCTCTTCTTGGGTGTGGCCCTGGAGTTTATGTAATGGATGACTGAGCAAGAAGAGGAAGAGTGTCGGTCCCCTCCTTCCTGCCCAGGGGAATTATGAAAGGGATTAGAAGGAAAGCAAACAAGTGGAGCCAAGCACTGGCCCACTCACCCCTCCCTGAGAGAGAGAAGCCCTTGTCCCTGACTCACATTGGAACTCTGGGAAGAAGTGGCATCCCAGGCAGCTGCAAACCAATTTGGCCTCTGCCTCCAGCCCTACAGGGCTCCCGGGTAAGGGAGAGGCGCCACTGGAGTTCAGCTTTCAAAGTCAACTTTCATTCCTGTGAGCCAGCATCCCTGCTGGGGCCACGTGGCTCAGCTGTGAGAGCCCGTGGGGAGGAGGGACCAGGTGCAGGAGGGCTGGTCAGCAGGGGGCGCCACAGGGGTTCTAGCCAGACCAGGAGGAACTGGACCATGAGGTTCATAAACTCAACTTCTAGTATGATCAGTGGCCAGGAGGAAGAGGGGACATTGCTGGGTCCAGAGGACACCAACACCCCAGGATCCCAACTCCTGCCTCCTGCCAGATGCCCCACAAGCTGCCCTTGTCTGTCTGCAACATCCCAATAGCACCACAGTGGGGGAAGCCAGGGAAAGCAGTCTGAGAACTATGCATTTTATCCAAGAGAAATGAACAAAATCACTTAACAAGACCAGCTAATCACTCCAGCCCCAGTATGTTTGAATCAAGTTGAAAATTTCATTATTTTTCTCACTTATCATCAGGCAGAGGCTGGAAGAAAGGCCAGATTCATTATAAACCCATAAATAAGGAAATTACCTGTTTACTGCACAAATAAATTACAGAATGAATTAAGTTTTCAACCCTGTTTCGCACACAAAAATAGAGGAGCCACCACTGCCCCACTGCAAAGCTGGCTGACTTTTCCAACAAAAGACAAGGACCCAAGCCTTCTGGATCACCAGTTCCCTCCTCCAGGTGGTGGGGGACACCGTTATGGCAGAGAAGGCAAGGTCCCCCTTCAGCCCAAGCGGTTATATCAGCCCCCTTGGGCTCACGCACCACGTCCCTCCCTCCTGGATTATCTGTGCTTTTTTGAGGGGTGGAATGAGGTTTTCATTCTCTTTCCGGGCCCTTCCCATCCAGGGCATTTCAGATCCCTCCTTCCCCTGGCCTCTGCCCAGGGAGATGGGAATTGAATTGAGTGCAGAATGGTCCCCTGCCCTATACGCTGCGTCTAGGAGAGGCCCCGAGTGGAGCCGGCACATGCAAGGGCGATGCTGCCACCTGCTGGCCCCACAAAGAAACACAGCCCATGTGGGCAACCAAACCCCATTAGCCCCCCGCGGAGCTGCACCTGGATGTCCTGCAGCTGAATGGTTCCTTTTTCCAGTGCGGCTTCTCACCTGTTCCCTCATTTAGTCATCCCTGTGCTGGCTGGGACAAGAACATCATCCCATTTAATGGACGAGACAGCTGACACTCACGAAAGAGCAGAATGAAGACTGAGGTCACACGTGTGGGGACGGCTTAAAAGCAACGCTCAGTCTCCTGCCTCCCAGCCAAGAGCTGTGTTCTCTCCTCAGTGCTCAGACAAGGTGCCCCGGAAACAAGGGACCCCTATGAACGAGATTTACAGGGCCATCCTCAGCATCCAGGGAGGCAGAGTGAGGGAGGAGGGCACTAGGCAGTAATGCCCACCCTGCAGTGGCCTGGTACAGGTACAGCGACTCTGTTTCCCAAGGTTGCACACCTTCCATGCAGGACATTTCAGCCACTTCGGTGCCATTTTGTGAAATAAAACAAGGGCAGGCTGGCTTCAAGGGAGGCCCTGACGAATGCCTGTCCCGCCCAACCAGGTTCCTCCAGATCCCACAAACTCACCTTAGTTCCTGTCAGTCTTAGGGACTCCCTGGCTCCCCAGGTTGCAGGGTCTAGATTCCCATGGCCTGGGGGACAGGACTCCCCAAGTCTCAGGCTGAGTCACCCAGATTCCCTATACCCACCTCCATGCCCTGGGACACCTGTGCCTTGGGCCGACTGACCAGGGCATACAGGCTATGATCAGAATCTCTCGCCCTTGTCCTGGGTCCCCAAGGCCAATTCAGGTCCCCCAGGCCCTCTCTGCCAACAGGAAGGGTTCACTTCCCAAGGCTGGCTCCTCTCAGCCTGCTTGGCCTGCCATGAACAATCCCCAAATTGTGAGAGACAGCAGATGGCTCAGAGCCCGGGCTTTGACTGTCCTGCACAGGCACCATCCTCAGTGCCACACCAGCCCCTGGCTCCATCTCTTAATTACATCATAATAAAAACATCTCCAAGGCGGATGAGAGAGCAGCAGTGAAAAAAAAAAAAAAAAAACCACGAAGACAAATCCATCTAACCCATTTCAGAATGGGCAGTGACCTTCCAAGCTGAGAAGAGATTATACTGGGAAAACATAGCTTGCAAAAAAGTGGACATTTCTGTCTATCAAAAATATCCCAGCATTAAAGTCAAGCAAGCTTCCCAGGAAATGTCTTTGCAACCTTAGGGTATACTTTTCCATGAATTGTCTGCGCACGCCCTTGCTGCTTTTCTGCCGGAAGCATTAGGTTGTCTGTTTGTTTGTTTATATATTAAACAGGAAAGGCTGCTTATTTTGAGCCCTTTGCATTTTGAACTCATGAATGGATTGTCTATTAAATTTAAAAAAAAACCTAAATATAAATCAAATAAAACCTTTTGGTTGACTCTGCATCAACAGCTGATGAATGAAAATTTTGTACTAAAAAAGTTCCAAAGGGAAATTTCTTCCATGGCCCTCAGCCCAGAGACCAGGAAAGGCAGAACTGGAGGTAACTAAGCTGGTCGGTAGCAGCCCGCATGCTCGCTGTCTCACTTCCAAGCACCCCATTCCCCAAGCCTCCGCACCTCCTTCACTCACTGTCTTGCGCCATCACGATCGGCTCTCAGAGGCGCTTTGATGAACTCCTCCATGGTAAGGGGCTGAGGATCCTTTGAGGAGCTGCTCACTCTGCCTTTGAGTGCAGACACCATTCTATGATCCGACTTCAACATTGCTGGAGTGGGCTGTGAAAACTTAAAAGTGGGTTGATGGTGATGTTGCCTTTTTTTTTGAGACAGGGTCTCACTCTGTCATCTACACTGGAGTGCAGTGGCAGGAACAGAGCTCACCTCAGCCTTGACCTCTTGGGTGCAGGCCATCCTCCCATCCCGGCTTCCCAAGTAGCTGGGACTACAGGTGTGTGCCATCATGCCCGGCTAAATTTTGTTTGGTTTTTTTTTTTTTTTTTTTTGATAGAGAAGGGGGTTTGTCCTGTTGCTCAGGCTGGTCTTGAACCCCTGGGCCCAAGTGTGATGTTGCTTTCGATAAGGATCCGAAAGGGCTGAGTCCTGACCCACAAAACAAACCGTGAAAGAGTCAAGAGTCATTTTCCCAAATGGCAGCTGCAGGCAGAGTGGGGGGGGCACCCACAGAGGATGTTGTGTGCTCAGCAGGTGGGTTATGGCCGGGCCGTCTCCTCTCCCGCTGGGTGCTCAGCATCCCGACTCTCCTCTGCTCCTGGCTCTTCCAGCCCATGCCTGGAGGACAGAAAAAATACCTCTTCTCTGCCCGAACCCCTTCCAGCCTACTCACGCCGTGGGGGAGCAGCTCTCCCCTCTTCGGGCATGGGAGATAAATCCCATTATTCCCCGGCAGTAGTCCCTGTCCCTCCTGAAAGCGGTCAGCGGTCACCCTCACTGCCAGGACTCTGCACTGTCCCAAGCCTCCTCCTCTCCAGACCTCCTTCGCACCTCTCCCTGCTCTCCTTGTCCTGGTAGGTCCAGGAAAGGCTGAAAGCTACGGATAGCCCTACGCTGCCCCACAGGCTGCGGATGACCTCGCAGTCGGAGGCTGGTCATGTGGCCGGCCCTGCCCGGCTCCTGGGCCTCGGGGAGCCTTCTAAGGCAGAGCCGCAGCGACACCATGTGGTAGAAGTCCGTCGGCACGGCCACACGGCTCAGAGCGGGCCCACAGACGCGCTTATAATCGCTCACTGTTGAGACCGGTGCTAGCGACACGAGAGAGGCAAACACACCCTCTTGCCGTTCTCAGTGTTTGGGCCTTGCCTGTGACGGTAGGAAAAGAAAATGGCCTTGCTGTGCTACAACCGGGGCTGCAGTCAGCGCTTCGATCCTGAGACCAACTCCGATGATGCTTGCACACACCACCCAGGTGTTCCAGCCTTTCACGATGCATTGAAGGGCTGGTCTTGCTGTAAGAGAAGAACAACTGATTTTACTGATTTTTTAAGCGTTGTAGGCTGTGCAAAAGGTAGACATAATATTGAGAAGCCACCAGAACCAGTCAAACCTGGAGTCAAGGCTACTGAGAAGAAAGAACTATCTGAATTGAAACCCAAATTTCAGGAAGACATCATTCAAGCCAAGAGTCAGTAGAAGCAATAAAAAGGCCAAGCCCAGATGAACCACTAACGAATTTGGAATTAAAACTATCCGGTTCCGCCAAACAAGCACCTGATGAAATGACATCATGGAACAAAGAAGATAAGAAAGGAGACAATTGGGCCAAGCTCGGTGGCTCACACCTGTAATCCCACCACTTTGGGAGGCCAAGGCAGGTGGATCACGAGGTCAGGAGTTCGAGACCAGCATGGCCAACGTGGTGAAACCCTGTCCCTACTAAAGATACAAAAAATTAACCGGATGTGGTGGCCCACGCCTGTAATCCCAACTACTCAGAGGCTGAGACAGGAGAATCTCTCAAACCCAGGAGGCAGAGGCTGCAGTGAGCCAAGATGGTGCCATTGCACTCCAGCCTGGGAGACAGGGCGAAACTCTGTCTCGAAAAAAAAAAAAAAAAAGAAGAAGACAATGATGAAATTAAGATTGTGACCTCATGTAAGAATGGAGGGTGTTCAAAGACATATCAGGGTCCAACGAGTCTAGAAGAAGTCTGTGTATATCATTCTGGAATACCTATTTTCCATGAGGGAATGAAATACTGGAAGAGAAACTTCTGATTTTAACACATTCTTAGCCCGAGAGGGCTGTCAACAGGGAAACACATGTGGACTAAAAAGGATGCTGGGAAAAATTGTTCCATGTAGACCTACCTGGCATCAGACTGGAGTGAAGTTACCGTTTCAGTATGTGCTTAAAATTCACTTCCAGAGCTTAGTCAAGTAGAAGCAAATAGCACGTTGTTAAATGTGCACAACTGTATTTGAAGGAGAGAATTTGATCAAAATGTGAAATTATGGGGTGTGACTGATGTAAAGCAAAGTTATGTCACTATGACCGCAACGAAGGTGGAGATCGCCGTGAGAAAAGCTGAACCGAGGCAGTGGGCAAGCCTTGAACTGCTGCAGCCAAGAATAGAAAAACGAAGACACCCAGCGGATGGAGTATGACACAGGAGGAAGGCTATTCTGTGTTTCAGAATTCTTCATGGTGTGCGAAGCAGCGGCTTGCTGCTGCGTCTTTTGTTTGGGTGCTGTGCTGCTGGATCTGCCATTTCAGGGTTCATATTAGGTTCTTAAAAGCCAAAGTCAGTTTGTCTTTTTGTGTCTCTCATCTTTCTTCTGTGTTATGTAAGATGGACTATTCATTTCTCCTTACTGGTGGGAACCATAGTTGTGTCCTGTACCTGAAGAGGCTAGAAAATACCCCATAACCATAAATGCAGTGTTTCTTCGTATTTCTCTGTTAAGCAGAGAAATATAAAGGAACGTGATTTTTACGTCTATTATTCCATAATTAGTAAAACAAAATGAAATACCAGTTTTTAATCAGTTTTTTCTTGGATGTGTGTGTTCTTACAATACTTGAAAATATTTAAGGAAGAGATGAAGTTTTTTCTGTGCTTTTTTCTATGTGGGATGATTACTTTTTTAAGGACGATTAATTCTGAGGCAGTGTAGTAATTAAAGGGGAATATATGAATTATTTAACAAATTAGAATTTGTTTACAACTAATTGAATTTTTAAATCATGTCAAAACTTACATTACTTGCCAAGCAGTATGATGTAAGAGTACAGGAAACATAAGTAAGAATACAGAGGTATCAATTGGGCTAAAATTCATCATTTTTAAAGACCAAGTAATAAGCTTAAATATCTCTTTCCTGAATATTTAAATGGGTTTGTATGGTGTTACGACTAAATTGTTACTGATTTAGATACTAAATCCTCTTAAAATCTTTAATTAGTTACATATAAAAAGAAATTATGTATATACCTATATCTTGCCTCCTTGATGGAAAACTATCTAAAATTGTAGACTTAAAAGGTTTGTGGAAATACATTAGGATATCAGAAAACTAAGTATATGGACTTGCTTTATGACTATCTATGACTTGTTAAATAAAATAGCCTAATTCTTTAAAAAAAAATAGTTTACCGTCTAGTAGCTGCGGTCTTCCCTAGATCCCAGGAGAGTCCCATCCCCCTAGACTGAGGGACATCTGTCAAGATAAGGTCCCAGCCATATCCCTGCCTCACCCCACCCCCACCCACCACCCTGCACAGCAAAACACCTAGAAGGGACCGGGTCTCTGGGTCGGATGGACTTTGTCACTCCCACCTCCTCTATTTGGCAGATGTCTGAGCTTGGGCAATTACAGAACCATATCAAGCCTCAATGTCTTGTCACTAAAATCAGAGTCATAAAAAAAATAAATTAGGTAATAAAAAGTGTAGAGCAGCAGACAGCAGCAGGTGTCCAAGAAACAATAGTTTCCTTCCCCTTCTGTCTGGGTGTAGAGACTGAGAAACCTAGAGTGGCTCAAAGGCAAGGCCAGGAAGACAGTCAAAAACCAATGCCTAGGATGGAAAATTTCCCCTCAGCTCCTGCAGGAAACCATTTTCATTACTTCACCAGCTACTTTTTGCCTCTCTGAACACCTTCCATTTGGGCCACAAACCAACCGGGTCTGTCAGGCACTAAGGAATGTTCTGGAAGATGAGGCCTTCAGGGCTAACACTGGGCAAAGTGGTCACCCAGTCCCGTGTTGCCTCGCAGTTCTAGCTCCAGGACTTCATAAGTAGAGTTGATAGAATCTCTGGGGCTTCGGGCTGGGCACAGTGGCTCACACCTATAATCCCAGCACTTTGGGAGGCCAAGGTGGGAGGTCAGGCTGAGGTTAGGAGTTTGAGACCAGCCTGACCAACATGGAGAAACCCATCTCTACTAAAAATACAAAAATTGGCCGGGCATGGTGGTGCACACCTCTAATTCCAACTACTGAGGAGACTGAGGCAGGAGAATTGTTTGAACCTGGGAGGCAGAGGTTGCAGTGAGCTGGGATGGTGCCATTGTACTCCAGCCCGGATGACAGAGCAAGACTCTGTCAAAAAAAAGAATCATCATCTCTGGGGCTGTACCCCAGGAACGTGCTTTGTAACAAACTCCCCAGATGATTCTTACAAACATCAATGTCTGCGAGGCACGGCTCCAACACTCTCAGGCTGTGGTTTCTCGTTGGCATCTAGTGCAAGTCATTAAGCCACCTGAGGCAGGGCATGGCACATGCTAAGGGATGAGACTTTGGAAAGACTGCAAAGAACTCTCTAAACACCAGGCTTTGGCTCTGAATCTGCAAAGCACACCAAAAGTACCTGGACACATGCCCTCTTCTCAGCTTTAGAGTTTGTGTCCATGTGCTGCTTCTCCACTTTCTGCCATTCTTTCATTAAATATTTGTTGAGTACCTACTAGCTTGGTACTAAAAACTGATAACCTGGTGATGTAAGATAAGCAACTAACACTTGTATAAGCATAATAAATTTATATCATAGTAAATATAATAAGAAACAGACAGGCAGAGTGATTTGATGGGGAGAAGCTATGTTCAAAGGCATCTCTGGGAAGGTGGTATTGGACTGAGCCCTGATGGTTGAGCAGACAGCCATCCTAAGATGTGGGGGAAGCTATTCTTGGGGAGGAATGGCCATTGCAGAAGCAAGGCCAAGGCAGAAACAAGGACTAGGAAGACAAGAGTAGCTGGAGCATAGCGAGCTGGGACAGAGTGATGGGAGCTGAGGCTGCCAAGGTGGGCAGCAGCCAGTGCAGACACGTGGGGCCTTCTGGACCACTGCAGGCCTTTGCATTTCTTCTGCCTGCAACAGCAAGCTATAGATGGCATTAAGCAAGGAAATAACAGAGTCTGACTAGTGTCATTAACGGTTAATTTGGGCTTCTGTATGGAGAAAGGATTGAAGAGGGATGAGAAGTGGAAATTGGAAGCCAGTTAAGAGACTCCTGCAATCGTCTACGTGGGACATAACAGAAACTGCAGACAAGCAGAAGGGCAAGGATTCAGGAAACGGATTGGAGGAAGATACAGGACTTGCTGATGGATGAGATGTAAGAGGGGTTAGAAGGGTACAACCACAGCGGTCTCCCAAATTTATCAGTTAGAATCAGGTGAATGAATGAAAGGGTCACTTTTGTGGAATGGGAAGGACTAGGGGAAGAGCAGGTTTGGGAGAGATAAAAAGCACAAGTTGTGTTTTGAGTATGTTAACTGTGAGCTGCCTGTGAGTCCTCCAAGTGGAGATGGCAAGTGTGCTGATGGAGGGGGCCAGGCTCTGTACAAAAGCACAGGGAAGGACACACTGACTTTATCCCCAGGCCAGTTTAACAGACTGAAAGATTACAATAATTTTTGGTTTAGGTAGAAATGATGCTGCCTATTCCTTCTAAACAAAATTCTCATTAAGAAAATTGAAAATTACCACAAAAAATAAAAAGCAAAAAACTAAATCACATCGCCAGAGAAAATCACTTCACTAAAAAAAGGTATGAATGAAAGAAAGAAGAAAGAGAAGACCACAAAACAATGAGAAAACAAGTAACAGAATGGCAGAGGTAGGTCTTTACTTATCAATAATAACATGGAATGTAAATTAACTAAACACTCCAATCAAAAGACAGACTGGCTGAATAGGAAAAAAAAAAATTGATCTGTTACCTACAAAAAACACACTTCACCTGTAAAGACACACGTAGACTGAAAATAAAGGGATGGAAAAAGA